TAAACGTAGATGGATGATATTGTATATATTTAAAGAAAAAAAAAATTTGTAATTTAAATATCAACGAAGTTATAACATTTGTTTTGTAAATAATGTAAAAAAAAAAAAATAATAATAATGATAATGATTCATGTACAAAAATAAAAGCATTTTTAGTTTTGATTAGTTACGACAAAAAAAAAAAAATAAATAAATAAAAAGAAAAGCCCGGTTGATAAATAATAAATACAACGACATAAAGGCTCTTGGATCAAGGTTTAATAAAAAAATAATAATAATAATTAATTAATTAAATTTGAAAAATAAATAAATAAGATTCATATATTATGCAAAGATTGAGAATAACATTTAAACGTTCAAGAACACCAACGGGAGCCGAAATGAAAACTCAAAGTAGTTTGGAAGTACCCAAGCAAGTAAGATCCGCGTCATTTGACGAAATGCAATTGGAAGTAAAAAGAAATCAGGAAATGTTGCAACAAAGCGATGACAAATCATTATTAAAAGTACCCGTCAACAATCAAAGAAGTAAAAGCGTGGATGCCGGTTCGAGCGAAGACTGTAATAATATACTTTATTTAGAAGTACCCCGTCCGAACGTTCGTAGAAGGTCATCGAGTGAAAAACTTCCGGTTTTTTGCGTTCATTGTCAATATATAGACGACATTGCTAAATTTCATCAAAGCATTGCCGTCGAAGAGGAGTCGTTCGATTCGAATACGTCGTTGGAATCATTATCGTCACTATTGGGAAGCAGTGACAGCATGTTTTCATTAAACGATGATGGGGAGGAAGACGAAGACGAAGATGATGAAGAAGAAGAGGACGACGATGTCGTCGTCGTCGTCGATGATAATGATAAAGATGGAAATGTAGATAAAAGAAAAGCGGAAGTACGGAAGTTGACGGGATACGGAAAAAGAAAAGATTCGAATGAAACATCAATGCCGACAATGCCCGAATGTAACATCAAGGTAACGTTATCGTTGAATTCGCCGAGTTCAACGTCTGCCGACACAAATAGCGAAGATACATTCGTCACTGATGTTTCTGCCACGATGAAAAATCAAAATTGCAGACGTCGTTCAATAATATCACCAAAGCTGTCGAGACAATCCGCATTTGTAGTTGTAGATAAAAATTGTTCCTTAGATAATATATCTAATATTCCTTCAGAGGGAAGCGATAGCGATCTCGTGAAAACGGTACCGAATCAAGGTCAAGATCAATGTCAAACAGATTCCGGTAACACGATATTCGATTTTAGTGGTATTAATTTAAAAATAGATGAGTCGTTCGAATCGAGCGTGTCGTCGCCAAAGTTAGGAGGATCGGATAGTAACGTACCGCAAGTGAAAGACATTTTTTTACAAGTGCCAGAATTGAAAAGAGATCGAGCTGCATCCGTGGATTCGTGTTTTACAAAGGTATCGCAAAGTGGTAAAGCAGAAGAAGTTAGTTCAAATTCGTTGGAACCACCCTCCAACGTATCCCTAAGATCGAGATCTGTGGATATTGTACTTCCGACGGATGAACAAAGTAGATATAAAGCTCTCGCAATGGCTCACAGCACGAGGGTGTCAATGCAGGGGTAAGTTTAATATCATTTTTCATTACCTACGTCGTTATATGTTCGAGAGTAATTTATGGCGGCAAACGATTTTTTTGCCGCATCGTAATATTTTTTTCTTTTTTAAAAATCTTTACGATAATAATGATAATATTAAATAGTAACATTCATTGACAATAACATCCGTAAAAAAGATATGAATGATGATAAATATTTCCATATTATTAATGTTAGATAAAATATTTGACATCCATTATCATTTTCTCTCTTTCATTGTTCGATTGTGACGATGTATCGGTGACAAAAAAAAAAAAATTTTTTTTTCCTTTTACTGTCTCGAACGCACAGAGGAACGCATCGAAATAAAAAAAAAATATGCTTGAAGTTTAATAATAATTTATTATTTTTAAGAATTTTAAAAATTTAATTTTCTTTCTGTAAAAAAAAGAATTTTAATTAAAAAAAAAAATGGAAGACGCAAAATATTATCGATGTCGCTGACTACGCGTGTGTGTGTGTTTGTGTGTTTTTTTTTTACATTTTTATATTCGAGACAAACAGAAAAAAAAGTGTGTGTGTATGTGGTGTAAACTTGAAAAAACGGATATTAATTTTTATACGGATGACCACACGAATAACAAAAAAAAAAGCTCGTGCACACCCACACACACACACACACACACAAACGACGCATTCTTAAAAGTTTAAAAAGCTTAACACACGCCCACGATATTGACGTAAAAAAAAAAAAAATTTTTTCTTTCTTTCCTTTTCTTTCACACTTTATTTTCTATTTTTCATCCATTTTTTTTTTAATTTTAATAAAAAAAATTCGTGGATGTTGTTGTGTGCGAATGATGAATTATTAATAAACGTTATTCGTCACCGTAAAACAAACGACAAACACTGGGAAAAAAAAATCAACAAACTTATCAATTATTTTTATTTTTATTTTCTTATTCGTCGTCGCGTTTCTCTCTCCACTCCTTCCCCCCTCTACTCCCAAAATCTAAATTTTTCGTTTGTTCAAATCCGAATATAATTGTCGCCGAATCGTTTGTCGCAAAATTGTAACAATAGGATGACGTCACGTAATTTTTCCCCGCAAAAAATTATGCTTTCAGTCTCCCACGAGTTTGTTTTTTTTTTTTTTTTCGGCCGAATCAATAAATCGATAATTCTTTATTATTATTATTATTATTATTATTATTATTATTATTATTATTATTATTATTATTATCATTTATAGATTTTTTAGAAATCGATTTATATTTTCCAAAAAAAAAAAACCATAACTTTTGTAATAACGACAAGAAAATATACATCATCATTTTTAAATATTTGACATTACGTAAATGGATTTATATTCTTAGAATTTTTCCTTTTTTTTATTTTATTTACAATAAAACACGTTTTGTTGCACCGTACAAACAATGACAATGTGTGTTTGTTTGTTACCCCACCTCTCCTCCCCAGAGAATTTTCTTTTACAAATCACTGGGAAAAAAAAGAAAAATTTGTCTCTTATTTTTTGACATTTTACATTTTTGATAATTATAAAAAGTAGACAATATATTTTCGAGTTGAATTTTTTTTTTTTTTTTTATGGGAACGTATTTCTCTGTGGAAATCACGTGATATATTTTATTATTATGATGATGATGATGATGATGATAATGGTAAAACACGTACGAAGAACGAATTTTTTATTATTTCGATTTTTTTTTCAAATGCGAATTCCAACTATTCATTTTAACATCGAAATTTCTTTTTTTTTATTTTATTTTTGTCTTCTGCTTTTTTCTTACACGACAGTCGTAAAGAATTTTAAAAAAGGAAAAAAGGAAAAAAATTATCCTAAGCGTGTAGTCGCGCGTTTGTGTCGATTTACGATAAAATTATTTTTTGCGTAAGTTAAACAGTAAAAAAAACATTTTTACACAAATTTCTCCTTCCACGTGTGCGTGTGCGTGTGTGCGTGCACGACAAAAATTTTTTTTAAACGTTTAATCTAACGTTTAGCCTAAGGAAAGAAAAAAGAAAAAAAAATTTTTTTTACCATTTGAGAATTACGAATTTTGCCAAAGGAAATTATTAAATTTTCTTTCTTTCTTTCTTTTGTTTTCTTATTTTTCTTTCTTTCTTTCTTTTGTTTTCTTATTTTTCTTCCTCTTTTTCTTTTTCTTCCTCTTATTTGATTTTTAATTTCCGTTTCCTTTTTATTATTATTATTATTTTTTTCTTTCTTTTGTTTAATACACGCGGGCATTTTATCAAAATTTTTCCTTTTTTTTTTGTTTTTTTTCACAAAAAAAAGGAAAAAAAAATTTTTTTTTTACGTCGACGCGACAAAAACGGTCAAATATTATTATTATTATCATCGTTATTATTATTATTTTTTTTTTATAAGTTCGTATGAATACGTAAGAATGAAAGTTTATTATTTATTAATGACTTAACCAAAAGATTAGAAAATGAATTTTATAATTGTAAATAATAAATAAACCTTTCTAGAACCTTCGTCAAATATTCGTCTATAATATCCGTTATATTTTTTTTTTATCCCGGTGAAAATTTTCTCTCTCGTGATAATAATTATTATTATTATTTTCAAGATGAAGAAAGAAAGAGAGAGAAAAAAAATATAAAAAAATCGATAATGATTTATTTCCGGTTTATCGAGACGAATTAATTTCCTATTTCGGTAAAATTAAACAGACGAAAAAAAATTTTTTATTTCGGCCTTAACCTTGTCGTGGAATTAGACGAAAAAAAAAAATATTTTTTATCACGACTCGTCATAAAATAATAATAATAATAATAGTACGTCATTAATAATTTTTTTCTTCTTTTCCTTTCCTTTTTTTTTCTCTCAAAGGAAAAAACTTACGAGATGATAAATTTTTTGCGATGTTGCGTGAACGTCAACCCGCTTTCGGTGAATTTTTTTACATTTTTTTTTTTTTTCGTTGTGAGAATAAATAAAATCTAGCAGACGAAATTCACACGCGCGCACGCACACACGCACACATACATTTATTAATTTTTTTCCCATCGAAACGTGTAATAATAATAATAATAATAATACTATCGAACGTCATTCTTTAATTTACTTTTCCCCCCTTAAAAAAAAAAGAAATATCTTTTGCTACGACGCAAAGTGTCAGAAATAGCTTACAGTGTTGCCGAAATAATACATATTGTTGTTTTTTATAAATATTATTAAATTTATACGTTATACGTTTTTAATATTATTATCACTTTTTTTTCAAAAAATCAAATTAAATTTATTATGTTTGTTAGAATCGTAAAAGAATACGAAATGAAGAATATCGAATTAAAATTTTTTTTTTTTTCGTACGGATTGAAAGAGAGTGAAAGAGAGAGATAGAAGTTTTCGAATACGTAATAAATTTAACAAAAAGAGAAAAAAATTTAAGAAAAAAAAACATACATGTAAATTTTATTTTATTTTTTTTTTACGAAAAAATAAAAGGAATGAGACGCCATTTTGTAAAAAAAAAAATAAATAAATAAATTTTTATAATTAACTTTATTTAAAAAAAAAAAAAAACGAATTTAAGTTTAAAACTTTTATTATTAACTTTTTATCTCTCTCTTTCTCTGTCCTTCCCTCTCTCTCTCTCTCTCTCTGTCTTTCCCTCTCTCTCTTTGTTTGAACAAGGCATATTTGGCAAGGTTAAAAAATTTTTTGGAAAAGTTTTTTAAAATGAAAAAAAAGGTATTGTTTCCTTCTCCCTCTCTCTCTCTCTCTCTTCCTCCTCTCTCTCTCTCACTATCTTTCTCCATTCCTTTTTATACGTCAATTTTTTTTGTTAAAAACCGCATTTTTTCTTTTAAAAAAAAAATGACAAAAAAAATTTTCTCCCCAAAACTATCCGAAAAAAAATTCACGTTAAAAAATTTTTAAGTATGATGGAAATGTAAAAAAATGATGAGAACAATGATAAAAAACTATTTGAATATATTTTTCTTATAATATTTGAACTAATGATTTTTTTAAAAACAAACGCCGTCATTATCATTTCGATTTGTTTGTTCGTTTACCGTGCAATAATAAACAGAACAAAAAAATTGTTTAATAATTTTATTGATTCGTTTTTTAGTTTATTTATAATTAAATGAAAAATTTCTCTTTCTCTCTTCCTCTCTCTCTTTCTCTCTCTCTCTCTTATACATCTATACGGTAGCTGTCGTCGTCTTGTAATTTCAAATATAAAAAAAGTTTTTTAAAAACAATCTTCTTTTCATCTCTTGTTTGTTTTTATTTTTTTTTGATTATAAAAGAAGCCGGATGAATTGCCTTAACAAACAATCGTTATGTTTTCTTTTATGTTTTTATGTTTTTTATGTTTGTTTGTTTTTCTTTTCAATTTTTAAAATTAAATTTTTTTTTTTTTTTTACTTTTTCTCATTTGATTGTAACGATTTTTAAATTTGATTTAATTTTAAATTTAAAAAAAAAAAAAAATCATTTTTCCGCCATTTTTATATTTTCGTGCTACGCGAAAAAAAATTTCGGTAAAAATTTTTAAGCATGAAATGAATTTTTTTTTAAATATCGTGTCATAAGAATCTCGTATAAATTTTTTTTCTTTTATATTTATAATAAAAAAAAAAAGAAAAACAACATTTTTTTATATTTTAAGCATATTAAAAAAAAGGAAAAAAATGGAGGCATGCATAGAAATATATATAGAAAAGAAAAGGTTTGAAAATTAGGTGATGAAAATTAAAAAGTTTAAAGAAATTTTCAACGCGGAATAAAATAACGCCGCGAATTTTATTTATTATTATTATTATTATTATTGTTATTTAAATGCGTTTAGCATATACGTTAAACCTTTTTTTGATAATAAATTAAAAAAAAAGGATGAAAGTTAAAATATATTTGACGTCATTTCCTATTTATATATTTCAGGTTATTAAAAAAAAAAAAAAGAAAACTGGTAACGTTTAACTTTACGAAATATTTATTTAATTATGTAATTTTTATTCTTTTTT